TCTGTGATGCGACTGTCGTTCGGCACGCTGCATTGAGCAACCGCGTTCAGTTTTTAATTGTAGTGTCTGTTCTTTTACTGAACTAAATGATTTTTATTACTATAAAAAAATCTAAACGACGGTGGGGGTCGGTGCCGCGGTGGGAAAGTGACATAACCGGTGTTGCGGCTTAACACTGGTATAACCGTTAGCACCGTCTATCGCGGCAAGCCTACTTGATGACATTTCGCACTAAGCTTTAGTTTGTTAATAATAAGTAATACTACATCAATTGATGCTAATTTCAGTAATTACAAACACATTTTTAAAATCAAAAGTTAACAAGTGTGAATGCACTGTGAACTAACATGAACAAACATTAAACAATTGTATTTTTATTAACTGTAATTTTTGAACAATGTATATATAGTTGTTAATTATAATAATAAGTTATATATATATATTTAATATAATTTTAATATTGAAGTCACATTGTTCAATATTTTGCTATCTAATAACATTTTAAAATGTGACTAAAGTGGCTGCTGTATTTTCATGTAAATGGATTTTCTATTCATATATAGTCCAACACAGTAAAAATGTCAGTACTGTTCCCTGTGGTTATGCACACAATGTGATAAATACAAAAACACCCTATAGATACTAGGGCTGGGTTTTGGCTGGGATTACAAATTTGATTCGATTTGATTCAATATCGATTATTTTGGATATATATCAGGTACAGTACATGCCAAATTTTCTCAAGGAAAAACTAATGCTGTAAAATATACATGAGAGTCAGTTGGTACTATATTGCTATAATATTGAAGGCTAAAATTGACTGATTTGTTAAAATTACACTTAATGAAGTTTTTTTAAATAATAGTTAAATTACATAATATTTCTACTTCAATTCATTTTTTTAAATATAAACATAATGGTGGCTGTCATAAAAACTTGATGGATTTATTAAAACATAAATTAAACACTGAAGAACAGTAAAATTTATAATGAATTTGTTATATGGTGCATATATTTAGCAAAATGCCCCTCTCTACTAATGAGTTTATGGTCACCGAATATGTTTTTTCTGAGGTAAATGTGACGTTACGTGACATTGTTTACAAGCCGTTATATTGACGTCTTTGCGCGGCTGAAACACTGATTGAGCGATTACATGAGACAGGATACGGATTGTAAAGTTGTACTCTTTCTTTTAACTTACCTTCGGATGTTTAGTCAAGTTTATTTTGTGCTGAAACTGGTATTAATGTGGAGGAGATGATCAGTTCACGTGCGCCTCGCGCTGCCGTGTCTGTTGAACTGAGGCGCTTCTGCGATCTGTCACTCCACATTAAACAGCGCCAAAACGGCATTTATTGTTTGAATACTGCAATACAATCGACAGAATTTGAAATCTGAGACTTTGTTTCATATTAAAAGTACCAAAGCACAATGCTTATTGCGATTTATTGGATGGAAGGTGCCCTTCAACGTTCCGTCCATTAACTGAAAACAGGCTAGACTAATCGATTCTTGGGATTTAAGAATCGATATCGTTTCGTAAAAATGAGAATCGATTAATATCGAGATATCGATATTTTTTACCCGGCCCTAATAGATACTCTTTTAAAGTTTAAAGCTACCAAGTGGAAAATATGTGTTCATTTTTTCACATTGTTAAATTTCTCTTGATATTTTCCTGTTTCCATGAGATGCTTCTTGTGGTTGTAATCACTGCATTGTTCTGTCTGTCTTGAGGTTTTTATACCTGCAGACCTGTGGGTGTGTTTTCTCCGAACGAGCGCTCAGAGAGGTGAAGACTGAAATCTGCCACAAGGTAGGTGAAAAGCAGCGTTCTTGATTCTCTTGAATCTTTGACCTGTTATCGATCTCTTCCTTTTGTCTTTGCATAGGCGCTTTATTACAGCAGCTGTATGCTAATAATCTTCCTGAAACCTTAGGCCATAAATGACCAGAGGCATAAAGTAATTAATTGCTTACTTTATGAAAATTGTCCATATACATTATCTTAGTTAAATGTCGATCAAAGGTCAGAGATAATGGTTTTCAATAGACCTTAATGTGTTTTCATTTAACGTTCAGTTTTTCATAAAGGCCGTTTTGTTTATCTGCTGTCCTGCTTTGAAGTATGAGTTTTTCATAGAGCTTTTGTCTTTAAAGGGTTAGTTCAGTCAAAAATGAAAATTAGGCTGCGTTTCACTCACCCCCGAGGCATCCTAGGTGTATATGACTTTCTTCTTTCAGACGAATCCAGTCGGAGTTATATTAAAAATGGTCTTTGATCTTTCAAGCTCTATCGTTGTACTCAGCGGGTGTTGCATTCGAATTTATTTAATACACGAGTTTCACAATTTGAGTTGAATTACTGAAATAAATGAACTTTTCCACGACATTCTAATTTATTGAGATGCACCTGTATATCTAGTTTGACCGTTTCAAATGCGGATGTGAACAATGAGTTGTTATCATAGGTGAAGATAAACTCTGAGTCAAGCAGTCAGCAGCTCTGGTTGTTTTTTTTTTTTGTCCAGGTGATTTGTCACCTTTCTCGTAATGCTGTGTTTACGCTTGTGATTGGATGGAGTTGGACCGTGGCTAATGAGTGCGACTTGTCTTTCACTCTCAGTAATGAATCATTAACCTCCCAGTCCCCTGCCTTGGTCTAATTGGTTTCAGGCTCAGCTAGCTGCCGTTTCTCTGTGGCATTTGTCTCAATTAATCCGAGCATTAAGGCGGAAATAGGGAAACTGCATTCTGCAGTCCATCTCTTCTCCAAACCGGCATAAACTGGTCAGATCGGTGCAGGTCGGCATGCTGTGCGTCGACAAACATTCAGCTGTATTTGAATATAGAATATAAACCTCTGAGGGTTATCCATTTCCAAGCAAATTTTTAACTATTCTTGGTGCTGTTAATCATAACCTGTGGTTATGTATTGCGTTACTGTGTCTAGGTTTTGAATAGGCATTTTTCATTCTGTCTTTAACACCAGGGAAAGCTGACCAGATTGCAGGCTTCAGCCTTTTTTTTTTTTTTTTTTTGTAGTATCATTTAGAGCAGAACTCGATTGAGGGCCGTGGGCTGAAATAAATATTAAAATATATTTATAAAAAATATAATTTTTAAATCTAATCTAAAAATATGAATTACTTTAGATATAAAGTTATGCTTCGGTGGCATGTTTTTTTTCACCCAAATTTTCATTTTATTTTATTTTTGATTTCATATGCTAAACTTTTTAATTTATATAATAGCATTTATGCATCTTTGGAGACTTTGACGTGTGAGTCTTACTTGCTCACCTGCTTTCTGTCCACCAGGTGAAAATTATCGTAAAGTCAGAATGTTTAATAAAGTATCAGCACATCTCTCCTCAAAAAACACGAATTGAGAAATCATTTATGTCTGTATTGCAAATGGATGACACATGGCAGTATATACCATCAGCTGTAGTACCATTTTGTGGTGATATGTTTGACTAATTGTCTATTAGTGGTCATGATGTAAATGTTTATGGCTATAATATGTTCTTTTGTCAGCGTAAAAAAAATTACATTGTTGTTAGCAGAGAATTTTTTTTTCTATCCAAGTTGCTAAAGAGGCACATTTATTAAGACCACAATGGAAATGAAAGTGCCTGATGTGTTGTGCTGGGGTTTTTATCAATTCAATGCAGTTGACAGCACTGAAAATGAAGCACAAAAAACTGAACAATATGAACAGTGCTGAATTCAGTGTTGAAAACAAAACTGACTTGAGCAGATGTTCATGTGTACATAATTTGCATACAAATTTACATATTGATAATATGCGGCTTACATTATGAAAGTATTACAGTGGCATGCCATAATGATGCTCACTAAACCCTTGACTAACAATTGGCTCTGTAAGTCACAAATTACAATATTTTCAAAATGTTTGGTCAGTTACTGTGTATATCACAGTATAGTATCCTTTGATTGTTGTATCTTGGATTTCACAAAGGATTTTTATGCCTTTATTCTTTATAATTTATCCACGTTAAACAGTGCATTATGCAGCAGTTAATAAATACAAATAAATAGAAATTACGATTACTATTAACAGTACAACAGTTATATTACTCATCACTCACATAACAATCAATGTTCACATGTTTTCATCATTTATACATCACGAGCTGCATTGCCATGCGGCGTAAATATTGACACAACAAATTTGCACCGTAAAGCAGAAAATGTTCCAGTTTCTATTTTTTCTTCCTTCATGTCTACTGTGTCCATGTGAGATGGTACTTTGACGTCAAGAGGAAATAGTGTTTGCTCCGATATATATGCAAAATACAGGGTTTTGAGTAGAGGTCGACCGATAGTGGATTTTGCCGATACCGATAGCTAGGTTGGACCACACTGGCCGATACCGATTAATTAACCGATTGTTTTAAAATTGATACTGAACAAAAACTAAAATAGTGCTTTATTAACAAAAACAGTACTGAACCATACTACTAGTAGTAGTAAAAATAATAATAATGGTAATAGTAAATGTTGAAATTAACACTCTCTAACAAGGAACAATACTTACACAGCTTTCATTAATCTTAATGCTACAAACGGACTCTTATTTTAAAGTGTTGCCACTTAATTTCAACTGTCATGCTTAAAGATGCACACGAGAGTTCCAGCAATCAACTATCGGTGCCGATTAATCGGCAAAACCGATACATCGGTCGACCTCTAGTTTTGAGTGCATGCAGAAGTTGACAAGCCTGTACATATTTCACTTTCTTTGTGACTTTTTGTGGGTGTTTGCTCAAAAACAGTCTCCTGGTTTTAAAATGAGTGTGCTGTTGATGACTTCGACCTCTGTGGTGAGACGCCATGATGGTTGAATGGGAACCGTAGCGTGCTGGAGAACTTTATGTCGGTGCCACAGTTCTAGACAATCCAGGACTTCTGGGAAATTTGCAGTCTCAAATTTATTCGCAAACATGCTCTCTTTTTCGATAAGCCACGGTAAGTCACCAATCCCGTAAACGCAGATATCCCTGATGTATTGTCCTGTAGAAACAAACACAACGGTTTTGGTATCCATAGACACAAGATTGCAGTCCTATGTTTACATGAAAATACAGACTGTTGTTGGGAAGATCTAATGTTATAATGACTGTGCAAAAACCTCAATTGGCTCGGTCTTAAATAAATGCAATATCAAGCTTTCTAATAACAGTGTTTCTTCGGGACTTTAAAGGGGTCATATGATGTTATTTTAAAGATCATTATTTTGTGGATCTTCTTTATGCACCAAGAGCTTGTAACACTCCAAAGAGAAAGGAAAACTTGAAATCGCATCATATGACCCCTTTAAAAAGTCCTAATTTCTCCCCTTCCGCAAATTAAGGCCTAAAAAGGTAATTAATCGGAGCAGAAAAACGTAAATTCATAAAGTCATTATCAGTCATACCGTCATTGGGGTATGAAAACTTTTTTCTCATGGAATTAAGTTGATTTTTCTCAACCCATTAGCAGATATTTATTCTTGTCAAATTTTGATCAATTTCTTATAAATCAAGAGGATTAATTGATGTCATTTGTGAAATTACACAATATAAAATATGCGTTGCTAATTCAAGACATTCACTTTTGCAGACCATATTGATGTATTGTGTTCCATTCAATTTATTCCTTAAATGTTCTTTACTTGGTCTTAAAAAGGTTAAAAAACTAAATATTACATTTGCCTTCATAAAACCTGCAGAAACCATGGATAAACGTGGCATTGTATACTAGAAATATTGTTGATTCTGTGACAGATTGCTTTGGATAAAACCGTATCCTATGTCAGAGTAAAAAGTGTTCGCTTGACATTCTCATACCTTTACAGCCCTGGTGTACTGTTCCTTCTTGGTCCTTCCATTTGATTGCACGAACGTTACCTTCCCATTCGCCTTCTACATAACTGCCAGGTGCTTCTGAGTAAACATGCAGGACCAATTTCATGATTGGAAGACCACATGCTTCTGAGCAGTTTTCTGTCATCAATATTTCTGTTATCTTGCTGACTGGAACTGAGTCAACATTGCATTTTAAAGCAAACACATTCATGATTATTGCGTTCTGACTTACCCTTCATGTGATTTAGAGTCACCCAGTAATGCTCATCTGGGCTGAAGGTGTCTCTAGACCACTCCAGCAAGTCTTTGGCCACCTTGTCGTTGAGGACGAACTCCACAAACGGTCTCGTCAAGGAATAATAGGCAGTTCCGAAGTACATTGTCAGGTTGTGAGGAGGTGGTCCCTTCTTTTGACCCTTGTCTTTTGGTGCCACATGGGTGCCCTTTACCTCCTTGTACTGAAACTCAGTCCTGTGCTTCATAGTGGGTGGCTGCCTGATTCCCGGCGTCATGTTCCTGTCTTTCCATTCGGATCCTTGCATGTACCGGACCAGCTCCAGGTTGGTCTGGATTGGAAAGTCCTGGCCGCACAGATTTATAACTCTTTTCCATTTTGTAGGAGACTTCACTAGGTCCTTCATGCAGTTGATGTCAGCCTGCAGACGGGAAAAGCCAGCGTAAGTCACTTTTTCGTTAACGGACGCCACAAAGACATTCGGGAAGCACCCAGCTAGGTTTCGGACGCTCGTCTTGTATTCTTCCAGTGCTTTAGCGTCTATGTGAATGCAGTATACATTCTGTGGTGCATAAGTGGCTCTCAGTAGCCGCACAAACGTTTCCAGCTCTTTGTGGATGGTGATTATGAAAGCCAAAGGAAAGTCTTCTTCATCTTTGCTCAGTGGCGCCGTAATAAAGTGCAGATCTGACTGCAAAAGAGAGCAGTT